TCCCATCTTGATGCACTACATCTTAGGGCAGCTTGTCATCTGAGCATACTGCTTCCTATACAGTATACAGTCGTTCTTACATGCGTGAATGAGATCGTGACCAAACCCAAGAACCTTCAAGAACTTTTTCATCTCAGAAGTGGACTTTGGAAGCACATTATCTTCTGCCAACATGTCTTTAATTGTGGTCATTAGCTGATCAAAGAAGTTCTCTGACATACCACTCTTCACTTTGATGTGGTAAAGGACTGTTATTGCAGAAACCTTGTTGTACTTGTGACACGTAGAGTAGAGTGGAGTTTCAGCCTCCTCTAACTTCTCCCTAAACTCAGATTCTTCTGGATTCTGCCACTCCTTAGATGGTTGTTCAGCTCTTACTTCAGACTCAAAAAAAGCTGTCCTCATCAAGTCATAAGCCTCTTCCTCTGTAGTTGGAACTTCAGCAGATGTTCTGTCCCTCATGTCCGCATGCTTACTCCAACATGGATTCCTCTTGTACTTCAAATCCATACCCCTAATCACTAGATGATCCAATACAGTCTCTATCAACTGATGACAAACATTTCTACAATCGACGCAGGGACAGAACATCTCTGTAGGATTACCAAAATTACTTGATGCTCCAGAAACAAAATTCCTAGCACCAATCTCATACTCAAGGCTATTCCTAAGGTAAGAAAAAAAAAACAAAGATTAGTATCACAATTGAAACCATCTATGAAAATAGCAAACAGTTGCATACCTTGGAAGCCAAGCCCATGCCTTGTCCATTTCACACCAATACGACCCAAGCTCCACCACCAATTATACATACATTTGTGATAATAACTTTAATTAATGATCAAACACTCACATAACTTGTCTATTCAGTCAATAAAACAACATCTGACACAAAATGAAGAACAAAAAAAGATAGAAATAAAATCTTACACGAGTAGACAAGAAGTTTCAAGACTAGGAATCAAGATTCTGCAAAGATAAAAGGAGATGAAGTCTTAGAATCAGTACAAAACAATTCATTTATAATTGAACAGCTACAGACCCGTAATTACCTTGTAGTTCTTGTACTGAAATCTCTACGCAATTCTACAGAGCCGCAGATCCAACTACACATCAGAAATAACATCGATTCAACTCAGACAAACATCAATCGACAAACACAAATCGAATACATCAATCGAAAAGATCAATCGACAAAACCCAAACTCACATCAGAAAAATCGATTCAACTCACATAAGAAAAAACGATTCAACTCACAGTTATTTGAAAAACAACAAAAACGGATCAAACCCATGAAATATTAACAAAATCAATGCGAATAACCCATGAATAACACATTTCCTGTAGTGACCCATGAAATCGATCGATTTACCTTCTGTATCAATTTACACCTAACCAAATTGATTTCGAATGAGATCGAGATCCAGAGGGATTTCAACAGAGAATGATTCAGACAGAGAAGGATTTAGAATGCGAGGGATCGAGAGAGTGGAACAGACAAGGAATCGAGTTTTAGATAGGGTTTCAAGACGAGAGAGAGGAATGTCGGGTTTGAGAGAGGAAGACGAGAGAAGAGAGAGTAATGAAATTAAAAACCTAATCTTTTTTTTTCTTTCTCTATCTTTATTTTTCGTTTTGGTACTTAGTGAAATTTTTGGAGCCAGTGAAATTTTTGTTTCCCGGTTTAACATATAATAACGTTTATGCTATCATAGACCAAAGGAAAAAGCGCCACAACGAAATGTTTTTCGCGCTCATCCTACCATAACGTTTCTATTTTCGAAAACGCTATTAATAGTTTCACAAAATTAATCTATAGCAGAAACATATAAAACGCTATAGTGTACTGCTATTAATACCCTCATTTCCTGTAGTGGTACAAGAATAAATTAATAAGGAGAGTAGATCTCCATGTGTTGATCCCCTCTCTGGTATTATTAGTCATTTAGGTTGTCCGTTGAGGAGAAATGTGTATTGGACTGAAGTGATACACCACATTATCCACGATATCCACTTCTCACAAAACTCATCTTTCTTAGTAACTGATCAATAAATTCTCATTCTCCCTGATCATATGCTTTACTCACATCCGTTTTAATAGCCCTAGGATTCCTTTACAGGATGGATTCGTTCTTAGCCCATAAAACATTTTTTGTGCTATAAGAATGTTATATGAGATAAGATGGCCTTCAAGAAAAGAAGGCATATTGTGTTTCCGAAATAAGATTCGGTAGAACGTATTGAGGCGTTGACACATAATCTTAGATATAACTTTATAGCCGACATTATAAAGACTTATTGGTCTTAGTTCCGTCATTCGAGTCAGGCGTTTTGTTTTTGGAATTAGACATGTATTCGTAGTATTTAACCGCTTATCAAAAAACCCCTACTGTAAAAAAAGAATTGACCAAGTTTATCAAATCTGTTTTAATGGTATTCCAAGCTTGTTGAAAAAACAAAGCTGTCATACCATCTTTCGTACAAAGCTAGTATTTAAAACTATATTATTATCAAACTTCAACATCACAATCTCTTCGTTGGCACTTTCAATGTGATCTCAATGGAGTGTTTGGAACCGGCTTTACTTGATGAGACATACGAGTCGGAGCCGGACCACGAGTCGGAGCCGGAAGCAATGCGAGAGTTGTCTTGTGAAAGACGGTCATGTAACATGACTCATGTTAGATACAGAACAATGTTGCATAGAGTCAATAGAAAAATCGTAACTCCAAACCCAAATCTGGAGTCCAAAATTCAGCTAATGTCAACATAATTAATTCCAAAAGTAACAGTACATTGAGCACGAAACCATACCAATGAAACTAAACAAAGTTTCAGTCTCATTACTCCTTAACACATTGTAAAGGACTTATTAGAAAACAACACAAAGAGAAATATATATAAGTTTCAGTCGCATTACTCCTTCACACATTGTCCCAAGAAGATTAGAGATTCCATAACCTAAACCCCGAGAACAAACTCATACCGAGAAATCGATCAAATCAAGTGGATGGCGCAAGAAGAGGCAGAATCAAGTGAGGAATGTGAGCTTGATGATCCTCAAGACGTCCCTTAACAGAGTCACCATCCCAACGAACAAGAGTTGGTACTCCGGTTAGCTTAAACCGTGGATCAACTCTCCACGGATGCGCCGGAGTCCTCCACGTCGGTCTATCTCCGGCGTAAGCACGAATAAGATTTACCTCCTCTGGAAATTCCTCTAGAGTCTTGTAAATCACAGGTTCAGCTCTAACACAGTCTGATTCACCAATCAAAACCATTGAATCGATCAAGCAGATGAAATCGATTGAAATTGGACGAAAACTGAAAAAAAAAAAACTAACAGAGAGAGAGAGAGAGAGAGAGAGACCTGGACACCAGCTTTGACCGGTGGTGGGATCGTTGTCGGCGAGGAAGAGTATGAAATTGATCTTGCTACGATTGGTTTCGTCCGATTTCAATTGTTCCAAGACCGATTCTAAGGTTGATGGATTCGCGTCCAGCTTCTTCAACGTCATCTTTCTTCTTCTTCGTCTCCGACGATTCTGACTGATTTCGGGGTAACCAATTTAGTGTTCCTTTTACCTCTTTTTGGACGGCCCAACTCAAACTAAGGCCCAAATTTCTTTGTAAATAAATCATGATTACTATTATATCCTTAATAAATTTATTAGTTTTTCCAATGACATATAATATTACTACTATTTTATTTTAAAATTATATCCTTAATAAATTTATTAATTTTTCCAATGACATATAATATTACTACTATTTTATTTTAAATAATTTTAAGAAATTAACCAGACTAAAATATTTTTTAAATTTACTTTTAAAGTAAAATTAGTATAGTTAAGACTTAAGACTAATTTAACCAATTAAAGCATATTTTATAATATTAGTGGTTAAAAAATCAAATATATTTAAATCTTTGCATGGGAACTTAAAATTTACTTAAAAGGAAACAATTTTTATTTTTAAAACATCACTTAATTAAAAGGGATAGAGTATCAATCAGTTTTGAAGTTATGTAGCTTAAAGTTAAAAACTGGGGAAAATGATCATTTTCGATCCCGACAATCCGTAAAATGCATTTTTCAGCTATACAAACGCTTAATGCTAATTTCTACCCAAACTCTTGAAAACTTCAAATTACATACCCTAACTCTTGATTTTTTACGTGATTCAGAGTCATCGTTAACCAATGTTAGTCAACTGTTATGGATGCTGATTCAGATGATACGTGTATGAAAAAGTAGTAATTCGGTTTTGTAAAACGACGTTGTTTAGTGCTTGATGTTTATTTATTTATTTTAATGATAAGACCCTAGAATCAAACCTTCGATTTTGACATATTTAAGCATACACAATACCAGTCATATACTTATATACATATAAAAGATTTTTTGGAATTCAATTTAATTAAACGATAATTAAATTGAGTTGTGTATTAGATTGATGTTTATAAAGAATAAATATTTTCTCTTTGTGTATTTAAATATTAAATTGTGTATGTTTAAATATTTCCGAAAACCTATTTAAACGCACGTCGAAGATGAAATTTTATACTCAAGAAGATACAACTTATGAACCGAGTTAAACGCATGTCAAATAAATAATGTTATATCCTAAAAGATACAACATATGGAACCAAATTACAGAGTTCACCGCTTGATCAGACTGATTCAAGTATTAAACGCATTCAAGATGAAGAAACCAACATAGATTGCCTATAACTACACATTCAATTTACAAATCCATCAACCTTTTTCATAAAATCCCTAAAATCCATTTAGGTGACTACTCACTCATGGCAAAAGGAATAACACAAATAGATATGAAAGAAAACATGATTCAATCAAATAAAATGGAAATAGGGTTTAGAAATCTTTTCCAAATGTCAAGAAAATGGATTCCTTTTCCCAAAGGTGTTTTTTACATGAGAACTCTCAAAAGTTGTAGAAAAAGAAGCGTAGAATAAAAATTAGGTCTCTTGGGATTTTATACCCAGATACAGAAAATAAGAAGTAAAACCGATTAATGAAAACCAAAACTGAGCGTCAGGACTGGATCGAACGATCTGGTGGGTGGACCGATCGATCCAACAATGTTTGGAAGTGATTCTCATTTGTCTGGGGAAGGGGATCGATCGATCTGGCACTTCTGGTATCAAACTCTGCAACTGTTTCAAAAGCTCACCATAATGACCTGTCTTCATTAAATCGGGTATAACTCTTGAATGCACCATTAGATTTCCTCCATATCACTTGGAAAATCACGCTAGCATCTTTATAAAACTTGTATTAAAAATTCAGAAATATCTAACACTGGTAAGTCTTGCATCTGAGGCCAAACATCTGACACTTCTAAACGAATCTACATCTCCAAATATGTATTTATATCCCAAAACGGCTCGTTTTCCTCCAAAGCAACCTAAACCCTGTAGAGACTCAATAAAAGACTAATAAAGTCTAAAAACACATTTTGACTCAATAAAATATATATCTAAGAACAAAAACAAAGACTCAAAACCAATAAAAACACAACATATCACACCACTTTGTGACTTCTCTTTTTTTATTAAATTTGCGACTACGCTTTGTGACTACAACCTTTGCGACGATATTAATAGTCGAAAAATCGTGGTTAATGGCTTAATTTTTTGCGACATATATATATATATATATGTAGTCGCAAAAAGGTCACAAAATAAGCGACTAATTTGAACTGTTTCGTTTGGTCCCAAATTTGCAACTAATTTGCGACTAATTAACCAGAAGTTGCAAAACAGTCATAAAATATTAACGAATCTGTCGCTCTTTTTTTGTGACTACAGATGTAGTCATATAATGTAGTCTCAAATTCGATGTTTTCTTTTAGTATGTTATTAGATAAAGCAAATTTATATGAATAACTTAAAATAGAGATATATAATTTGAATACAGATTGAGAAGAATAGTTGAAAAATAATAAATATCGGATATTCGATTTTTGATTTTTACCGCAAGTGCAAATATTACAAATATGAATCTGATAATATGTAAAAGATAGGAATCGGGGTTAAACTATACCTCGAAGCATACATCTTATACTCGATCGATATGATTTTATATATCATAGAGGATTGCGAGATCGATGACTTACAAGAAATGAAAAAAGGATTGATTTCTCTCCTTGGTTTTTACTTTGGATGTATTATTAGCCCATTATAGGTGTGGCATAGCTCATATGTTTGTAGTATGTTGTTCCATTAGTCTTTATTCCATTAGTCTCTCTTCCTAAGAGCTTGGAGTGTTTTTGGGGTTTTCATTGTACAATATAAACCTTTTTTCATTGGTATAAATTTTAACATTAAACCAAAAAAAAAAAAAGGATTGATAAAAAAGTCTACTAGGGGTACGGTTGACTTTCTTCATTTACCCTTTTTCGTATTTTTGAAAGTCATTTACGGCGAGATAAGTGAGTTTTACCTTCATCCTAGTCTTGACAACAAAAAGTTATGGGCTTATCTTTTGTCGTCATCTAGAACAGTGAGAATAGGGTAGCGACGAAGGATGTTTGACAGAAAATACCTCTGTGCTTTGTCAGAGATCTCAGATGAGTCAAAGATTGGAGACAAAAGGATATAAAGATCCAAATTGCTAGAGCAAGTGAAAACAAGAAGAGGCCAAACAGGTTAGAGAATGAAAAAGATACTAGAAAAAAATGGGTATCATGACGCCTGCAGGAAACATCTCCTCCATCGTCAGAAAACTTAGTTCACGAGTGGTGCCTCGATACAGTGTCCGAGAGAGTTCACAGTTGTAATCTTCTTTTTTTTCACAATACCTTCTAACATCAACTTTTATTGGTAAAAGAAATATAGCTCATCTAAGATTCTTTCGAGTATGTTTTAAAACAATTTTGGTGTACACATATCTTTGAAAAGTTAAATTTGGTGATTAATCCAATTGTAATAATACGAATAATCTAGTTGTAAGACCTGAACTATTAGTACATGATGGTGGGCTGGTGGCTTGGCGGGCCCAGGATGGTTGGGTGCAACTCCTTCCTCTCCATGGTTCGACTCCTCCTGCTGTTATCAACATTATTGTGGGAAGTCTGCCAGTTGGGCTTTGGTCCAATTGGTTTACGTGGTAGTCAGAAATGCAGGCGGCCTGACTACCCCCTGGTACTTAGTCGGAAGGCATTCCAAATTCGGGATAGGCAGAGTGGTAGATCGAAGGGCCTAGCCGTTAATACGGTGGACCAGTCCACTATGTAGCACCTCAGTGCGTTCTTACCGGGGCCGACCGGATAGCCGATAGAGTTTATCAAAAAAAAAAAAAAGATATTATCCGTGACTAAATATCTTTACTTGATCCATAAGTGAGCCCTTAAACTCAACAATATAACTAGTAACACATATCCAAAAACGTAGCAAAAGAACTTATAAATTAAGGGATACATTTTTAGAATAAGCAAAATTGATAGGAATATGTTAAAATGTGTATTTAAAAATTGAATAATAATGGCTTGGGAACAATATTCCAAAAAGTTGATACCCGAAATAATCTTACGCGCATATTCAAAAATTACAGATTTTGTTTTTGAAATGGTTATGAATCTGGTAACCTGTGAAATACAGAAACCACATATTACGCCACAACTCAAATCATACGAGAACTTACATACGATGGCATAAAATTTTATATATCAGACATGATTGCGAGATCGCTGACTTACAAAAAAAGAAAGAAGGGTTTGGTAAAGAAAGTCTTAAGGGACTTTCATCACTAAACCCTTCTTCTTATTTTTGAAAGTCATTTGCTCGTTGAATAGTTGGAGAGATGACTAAGTGTTTTGTTTTTCTGTCTCTAGATGTGTTTATATATAGTTATGAAGGGATATGTACTATGTTATCATCTTCATGGATCAACTTAAATATTAAATTTGAGTAAATCCTAACTATTACTATTATTTTAGTATTGTTTACTCAGTCAAACAATATGGTTTGTAGTCTACGCCAAATTAATACACTTGTATTTCATTTCCTTTCCTAATAAATGCTTTTAATATTGATTTTTCTATTATTGTTATTTTAAATGTAATTTTCGACTAGAAATTACCTTGATTTCCCCTTTTTAAAATTTCTATATACCGCAAATTCAATAGTCAATTTTTTTTTCTCTAAATATAATTAAATTTCAATTTATTTCTTTGTTTACGTGATTAATGTCTAAACAATCCCATTAACTTTGACTATTAAGAATTATTAATAATTGCACATCCCTTATATATTAATTGAGAAACAGTCTAAAAAAACCTTACTATTACTTGTTATTAACGAAAATGTCATCCTCAGATGTCTTTCTCATAGAGATTATTAACCCATTTAAATAATAGAACAATCTTTGCTAGAATATTTACAGATTTAGTCATTTTCTTATATTTACATATCTCACATAAATAAATAAAAAACAAAATTCCAACTAAGAAAAAAGCAAATAATTAAGCAATTAATCGTGCCAAACTAAATATACGATAACCTTATATTATAAACATAAGAAGTGTATATTAACAAAGACATTAATCTGTTTTA